GAGGTCGGAATTTCAAAAATACAAAAATAAAAATACCGACCTCCGGAGGTCGGAATTTCAACATTACAAAAATAAAAATACCGACCTCCGGAGGTCGGAATTTCAAAAATACAAAAATAAAAATACCGACCTCCGGAGGTCGGAATTTCAACATTACAAAAATAAAAATACCGACCTCCGGAGGTCGGAATTTCAAAAATACAAAAATAAAAATACCGACTTCCGGAGGTTGGAATTTCAACATTACAAAAATAAAAATACCGACCTCCGGAGGTCGGAATTTCAACATTACAAAAATAAAAATACCCACCTCCGGAGGTCGGAATTTCAACATTACAAAAATAAAAATACCGACCTCCGAAGGTCGGAATTTCAAAAATACAAAAATAAAAATACCGACCTCCGGAGGTCGGAATTTCAACATTACAAAAATAAAAATACCGACCTCCAGTGGTCGGAATTTAAAAAAATGAATATTCCGACATAAAATAAAAACTGACCTCGAAAGGTCAGTAAATACCGACCTCTAGAGGTCGGTATTGAATAGCGACCAAGCTTTTTCCGACCTAAGCTGGGATGTCGGTTTTAGGTCGGTATTTCAAGGAATACCGACCTCCGGAGGTCGGTATTTATAGGTCGGTATTCACAGTTTTTTTAGTAGTGTAAAGCAAAGGCTTCCATAATCTTGTTGTTTCTTCAAACCTTGTTTTTCTTCCTCAATGGCCCTAACCTATCAAATACGGAAATCCTCTTCATTGGGCTTCCAAGTCGATCGAAGACAGAAAACCTTTTGTTAGAACTAGCAGACTCATCTTCCGCAGTGATGTAGATTTTTCTTACCCTTTTTATGGAAATGCAGATAGGTGGAGGTTGTTTGTAACCCATCCCTTCACGATGTTGCCTCATAGAAGGTTCTGACAGAAGCTTTCCTAATTTTGATAGTTCGTTAGGATCCAATCCAGCCTTTGCTAGTAGTCTATAAGCATTAGGATCGAAACCTTCTTCTGTACACTTCATTGGGAGTGCTTCATTATGGGATGACTTAGTGGCCACAAATTTTCCATAAAGTAATGACTTAGGAGCCATAGACTTCCTAAGTAATTTTATGGATAACTTCATCATAACAATTTTTCTTACAGGAAAGGTCAACCCTTCTAGTGCATTTTCTCGCAGCTTGAGAGAGTGTCCTTCATGACTTTGGATCATCTATTGGTGATTGACATGATGGAGTTTCGACTTCAGGATATGACTTTGGAGCATCTTTTGGTGATGGGCATGATGGAGTTGCATCTTTCGCTTCCTTCTCATCGACATTACAACATAGAGCTTTTGTACTATCGCATGTGAACTTCATGTAAAGCCAAATTGGCAAATATTCTCCTAATGTAATTGATCGACGCAACTCTTGGTTGTAGTGCACCTTTATTTCCTCCTTCTTTGAATGCACAATCAAAGCTTTGGTTTTGGGTCTCCTTACCATCTTTTCCCTAATGTGTTGCTTTGTTGACTCCTCATGCGAACTCAGTTTTTGGTGTTTACGGTGAGTCACGAGAGTCCAACCCCAATCATCAAGATAATATATTGGGTCTTCATCTTCTCTTGTCGATCCTTCTCCTACGGAAGCCACATCACTTAGTATAGGAAGAGACAACATATTATTTACATCAATGGGCTCAAAGTCTCCAAACTTAATCATTTTTATCTGATTAATGTTTGGAATGTCTTGCTCCCTATTTCCTTGAACAAAATTATAGGTCCTGACCAGATTAGGTAAGTCATAAGCAACACTGACTTTAACTCAATTTCTCATCTTCAAGTTCAATCTTCCCTTCGTGAGCTAAGTCCATGATTTTATCCTTGAAGACGAAGCATTTCTTGATAGGGTGGCCAACCAACCAGTGATATTTGTAGTATTTTGGATCATCACTACCCCCTTCTTCATTTGATCGTTTCATCTTTGGTAACTCAAAAAATTTCATCTCAAGGAGTTCATCAAAGATTGCAGAAACATCCGAGTCAAGAAATGGGAAGTCCTTCCACTGCATTTCCTTCAAAGTGAGTTTTTGATTTGTCCTTACTTCAAAAGAAGCCATTTTGCACTCTGCGTATTGCCCACCTTTGTGGTGAATTTCACATGAGAAGCAGTGACATTCGTGTATTCTTCGTTTTCAGTCTTTGACAAATATTTTTCCACTTTCTTGAATTCTTATCGTTATTTACCCTTGTGAAATTCGTGGACAGGTGGTGTTTCAGTTCCAATCAGCGAATGGTTTACTTCATATCATGAGCGTGAGTGGCCAATTCTTCAAAAGTTTTAGGTTTTATGCCTCGCAAAAAATAGTGGAGACCCTAATGCATACCTTGAATGCACATATCTATGCCCGAAACTTCACTAAGTCTATCTTTACAGTTCAGACTTTGATGCCTCCATTAGTTAATGAATTCAATGATCGGCTCTTCATTTCGCTGTCGTGTGTTTGTAAGTTCCACCATGCTTACAGTACATCTTGTGTTATAAAAGCGGTTGAGAAATTCTTGCTCCATTTGTTCCCAACTATCAATGGAACCAGACTCAAGGTCCGTGTACCAATCGAAAGCATTGCTCTTAAGGGAGCGGAAAAATTGTTTGACGAGGTAATCACCATATGTTCCAGCATTGTTGCAGGTTTCAATGAAGTGTGCCACATGTTGCTTTCGGCTTCCCTTACCATTGAACTGCTGAAATTTTCGGGGTTGATAACCGATAGGCATTTTCAAGCTATCAATCCTTGCAGTGTATGGCCTTGCATATGTCAAGGAGGATTTTGTAGCAACCTCATACTTGTCTTTAATGGTCCCCATGATGAACTCCTTGATTTGGTTGATCGGGATCGTTCCTTCAGAGGAAACTTGGATCTCTTTAGTATGTTCCACTTGCTTTGTGGACGATCAACCGTCTCTTGTGCTTGCGGATGTTTTCCAAGTGTATGACTTGATTCTTCATCCATCATGCCCTCCACCCTATTATTTAGCTTAACAATTCAAGCATCTTGATCTTAATCATACTTGGTCAAGCCTTCAATAGCTCTTGTCAAGCTCACAAGTTGTTCTTCTACGAATGAAGTGTTAGTCCCCATCGCGTGCATTACCATAGTAGGTGATGGAGACTAACATTGATTTTTCCAAACATGAGATGTAAACATGTTATGTGGGGTAGATCCCGTGCTTGAGATATCATTGTCAACCGAAGAGAAGGGCTTTTTGTATGTAGATAGGCTCAATTGGGCAAGAACCCTCTCGACCATTTCGGCGATGTCTTCTTTTGTGGCTTTTGCAGGAGACTTCACATGTTCTGGAGACAAACCAAAGACAATAGCAGATTCAGACGACACTTGTGAGGCTTGTTGTCCCAAAATTTGGCTTGGTTCCTTATGATAGGTTTCATGCTTACCACAATAACATCAATGATGTTTTCCACAGCGATGCAGAATTTGGATCCATCAGTTTTTGCAGATACAAATGTAGATGTGAATCCAGATGCAGATATAGATTCAGATGCGGATTTTGATGCAGATGCAGATTTTGATTTCGATGCAGATGTAGATTTTAAGTTGATCTTCTTGGAAGTCATCTCAGTGTTCTTGAACTTTGATTTTTGAAGAGAAAATATGAGAGGTAAAGATTGTGTATTCAAAGAAGGAGGTAATAAAGGTGCACCACTACCAAGAGTTGCGTTGACCAATTACATTAGGAGAATATTTGCCAAATTTGTTTTACATCAAGTTCACATGCGATGGCACAAAAGCTCTATGTTGTAATGTCGATGAGAAGGAAGTGAAAGATGCAACTCTATCATGCCCATCACCAAAAGATGCTCCAAAGTCATCTCCTGAAGTCGAAAATGCATGTATGGCCAAAATCACATTCTCTGATGATGATCTTCAGTTTGGTGACATACTTCATAATCACCCTTTATTCATGGTTGATTTTGCACGTGAGAAAAGGGTGAACAGAATCCTAGTTGATGGAGGATCTGGAATTAACATCCTTCTGATTCGCACAATGAAAGAACTTGGGATATCAACAATAGATCTTACTTAAAGTCACTTGATGATCCACTGATTCAATCAAGGAGGACAAAGGGCCATAGGGACAGTCAAAATAGACCTCGCCATCAGAGAATTGCAGTCAAGCGTGTGGTTACATGTAATTGATGCAAAGACTTCATTTAACATTTTGCTTGGTAGGCCGTGGGTACATGAGAACAAAGTAATCCCATCTACCTACCACCCATGTTTGAAGTATTATGTGGATGGAGTTGCAAAGAGGATTATTGCAGATGATAATCCATTCATTGAAGCTGAATCACACTTTGCTGACGCAAAGTTTTACTTGAAGAAATATGTCATAAGAGTTGATGACATTGCATCCGGAGATGTCGGACTCCTTAACAAGATGGCTAAGGTAGCTGTCGGTAAGCCAAAAGTCGCAAACAAGGAAGATAAAAGCTTGGCAATCCGAACAAGATGCCTAACGTGAATGATGCTTTTTCAAGTAAAAAGGTGACACCCATTCTTTGTTATGTCCCGAAGGCAAAGAGGACGAAGGACACTCTCTCAAGTTGCGCATTATTACTCATCCTTTGATATGTGATGTGATCTCATATATTTACTACTCCTATTTCTTATAACTTGACGCTCTGCAGGGTATAAATTTGTAAGATAAGATGACATTCATTGGACATTGCATTCATATAGTGCTGGACTCATCATTTGTAGCCCAATAAAATAGACAAGCCTCATGAACTTGGAGTTTCTGTTAAATCCACATTCACTATACTTGAATAATTGATGTAATTAAATTAAGTTACACAATTTATTTGGATTAAATCTGTATTTAAAATATAGTTCAAATTATTTTTAATCCTATTAAATTTAAGTCCCTACATATATATTACTTTACCAAATTTGTTCAAGAATTGTCAACACTCGTATAATATTTCTCAAACGGCCGAATACATAACATCTTTTTATTAATACAAACAAAAGTCCATTTATGCATAAACAGAATCATCATCATCCTCATGATCCATCAACTTCCAAGATCCATCATCTTGTTGTACCATTCCATTATTCTTCTCAACCCACCAACAAGTTGGTACACAATATTCATCCTTCAATGCATTTAAATGCTTATTAACGAGTGAAATATCGCGTCGTACTTCAAGCTTAAATCCACCATTTGCCCCTTGATATCCAGCAACTCCATGCATGTGAGCTTCTAAGCTATGCCAGCTTCTTATATCTCCAGGTACTTTTAAATACTTCGATTTTGTTGTATCAATAGCTAGTTCAACTCCGATTTCTGAGTAGTCTATCAAGGGATAATTTGGAATTATGTCAAGGCAATTTGTAACGCGTAAAATTCTAAGATTTTCTAGCTTAGAAAATGCATTCACGAAACTTGAATCTCCCACTCGTGGACTTGCAAATAAAATCGCTGTCACTAGACATCCTTTGTTGAATCCATTCACAACTATGTCAATTGCGTTAAGCGTTCCAACTGCTGCCCCCATGCTATGACCTGTTATTGTTATGCTCATTTTTTCACTTTTGTATTCTTCTACCAATCTCTTTACTTCCTCAACCACCTAATAACAAATTCATGTGAGCGATCGAACATGTTCATATAAATTAAAATGTTGAGAGTATTTAAGGTCATGAATATTTACCTGGTCTCTGACACTTGTGTTATTGAAGGGTGATCGTGGATCATCTGAAGTATAAATAGAGTACCAGCCTCGATGTATTTGAGGGTCAGTGTTACCTCTAAAGATTTCGGGTGCTGAAACTTGAAAAAAATCAAGATCATTTACCCAATCCAAAGTTTGAACAGTTCCTCTCCAAGAAATAAGAATTTCTCTTCTTCCTAATGCTATTTTTCCCTCATCTGTACCCACCGCAATAAAACCTATCCAATTTGATTCCTTGCTCCATGACTCCCTTGACAATGATTTTACGATAAACGCTTCAGGTACCTGGATGGATGAAATAATTAAAAACCACTACTTGTTTAATCTTCTCTTAAATCATGCAAACAAATATCTATTTATATATAACCTGAATTGAAGATGTTGCGTACAAATATTTTGTTACGCGATACTTGAAGGGATTGTGATCTTTGTCGAGCCCTACTTTTGTGAAGAGATTATTCTTGGAATATCGATTATTCCCTGCATTTTTGGAAGCCTTGTTAGAATTGAAGTTGTCATAACTTGCTTGAGCCATTTCTCCGTAGTGAATGATATATCGACGTAGATCGTAGTCTAAAGGATCCATAAGGCCTTCCCAGTTGTTCTTCCCACTAAGAATCATCCATCTTTTTGCTATAGTACTATCCGTCTTCTCTGTGCTTTTCTTCATTTTTCTTTTAAACCAGTTCCTCATCAAACCTTATTGTCGTTGCCTTGTTGATCTAATAAACAAGTGATATATCGTGGGATTTTAATATGAACCCTCAGTTGGGCAAATATATACGTGAAATATTGTAGAAAATTATACCAAATTCTGAACCATAATTTCATCAAGAACTTATTCTATGTTTTGTAGTTGCTTCTTTATTACTCCAAATTGAAATCATTAAAATATAGTAATTCCTCTGTCAGACAATTCATGTGACTTACTTTTTTTTTAATCAATTCTAAATAGAATGACATATTTCTATAGTAAGTAATTAACAATTTAACTTTAAAATGTCTATTTTATCCTTAATAAAATGATTTATAGCCACAAAAATTTATATCATGCATTTTGAACCACAAGTTTTAAAAGTATTTATTTCTTTTTTAAACTCACATAAAATAGGACAAAGGGAGTAATATATTTGGGAACGTGACGCTCCTTGTACTCAAAGCTGCGGCCGGCACCACTGTATCACTTAGCTTCTAAAATAGGAATGTCCTTGCTTTAAAGCAAAAATAATAAGAAAGCAATATATGGAATAAAGATAGTGCTTGCATGTTAGACAAGGCAACTACTGCTATTCATGAATATTATTGGCTCCAAGGTTTCCCTATTAGATGTTCCAAATTGGAATAATTATCTTTAGATCCTTTGCTTACATACTATTACCAAGGATTAGGGATGGTAATGGGACAGTTGGGGAGTTGTGGGGTGGGTTGAGCTTTAATCCAAAAAAAATTCCAACCCGCCCTGCATAGTAAAAATGTTGGATTTTAATCTGATCTGCATCAATTCGCAGAAACTCACTTCATCCCGCCCCACATGCAAAAAAATATTATTTTTAGCATAAATTTATCCATTTCAATTAGTATTACGACTATTATAATATTAAAATTTGATTAAACAAAAATTTAGAACCTCAAAAGTTGTGAATCTAAAAATCTTTATTTTTATGCATTATGTTGAGCCATCTCAAAACAATTTAGCATTGTTATTTAATTTGTAAATTATATTTTCATAAGAATACAATTTTAGTTCTGGTAATAATACATGAACTTTTAGATTTTAAATTTGAGATAGTCAATTGTGATTTTCTTATTTAATCTACAAAATGAGGAATAGAAATATTAAGGTGGGATCTTTTCTTTTTTGGTATGAAAAAGAAAGTTTTACTTAATGTATTTGATATTCTTATAATTTCCATTCTAACTGTGTAAAGTTTAGCGAGGAAATGATCAAAATAGTCGTTAATCTATAGGGGTTGAATTATTTTGGTCCTTTATATATATCACCTTATCCAAATAGTCCTTAATTATATAAAAAGAGTATCAATTTGATTCTTAGCCCTAAAAACTAACTGAAACATAAAAAGTTGTTAAATTTAATAGTGGATCCCACACTTGTTGGACCCTTTCTTCCTCCCGCTTTCTTCTGCCATTTCTTCTTTTCCATCTTCTTTCTTCCACCATTTTTTCTTCAATTTCCAATTGATTTATTCTTCTTTTCACAGCCAAAATCCTCTCTTACATTCAAAATTTTCTTCAAATTGCAAAAAAAAAAAAACATTTTTTTTGAAATTTGGAGAAACTTTTGTATGTAATAGAGGATTTTGGCTGTGAAAAGAAGAATAAATCAATTGGAAATTGAAGAAAAAATGGTGGAAGAAAGAAGATGGAAAAGAAGAAATGGCAGAAGAAAGAGGGTGGAAGAAAGGATCCACCAAGTGTGGGACTCACATTTAAGTTTAAACCGTTTTTTTTAGTTAGTTTTTAGGGCTAAGGACCAAAATGATACTATTTTTATATACATTAAGGACTACTTGGATAATGTGATATATATATATATATATATATAAAGAACCAAAATAATTCAACCCCTTTAGATGAAGGACTATTTTGATCATTTTCTCAACGTTTAGCCTTCAGTTATAGACTAATAATATGAAGTAACAATGAAACTATTGCACCCACCCCCCTCCCTCCCGCACCCGCACAAAATTAAATTCTTTAATTTAGATCCGTTTTGCTTCGTATCTGTTCATATTCACTTCGCTTCGTTGTCATCCCTACCAAGAATGTTATTCTTATAAGAAAATGAACGATGTTGATATTACTTTAACACCAAAAATTAGCTAATAAGGTACTTTATCAATGCTATGTAGGAAATTCAATTTTTAAATCTCCAACCAATATAGGACCTTCTATTTTTGTATCAGGCGAAGGTGCACATTTCTAGCGGTAAAAAAATAGGTGTCTCAGTAATTCAAGGTCAACGTACAGCTGAGAGAAAATGGTCAAAAGCCCCCAGTCTATGGTCGGATTTCCAACTACACACTCATACTTTACGAAGGTCCTACTACCCCCCAGAACTATTTTATAAGGAAATAAATTTCACTCTAAATGACATAGTCACTCTAGTGTATTGTGGTGTAACACACACATGTCATGTCAGCGCCATGCCAATGCCATGTCAATGCCATCTAATAAATATAATAAATGAATTATTTTTCCTACTTTTTTTTTTTTTTTAATTATATGCCCCATTAGAAACCCTCCATTATCATTAAGAACATCACCATTGTCAAACTCACTTCTCATCCATTGACATTTCGAGAAAAGACGGTAATTTTTTTCCGACAAGTATAAAGTCTCTATGACCAATATCTTTATCTTATTCCCCACAATTTCTCTCAAAGTTTATTGCTACACATTTTACTCTTGTTGGGGGCTTATGAAGGGATATACCAAAAGTAATATATGGGCATGCCATTAATTTTCAACTCAATTTCTTTCTTTTCTTAATGTTGATGAAAGTAGCAAACCAAATTAAAACATTGAAATTAATCCAATTGAAAAAAATAATTATGACCCATTCGAATTAATTATGCCCCATTTCGAAAATACCCCAATTTGTGATTAAATTCAAGAATGTGAAATTTGAATTAACATTTGAGAGAAGATCTTGTGAAGGTGTTGGAAATTGAAAAAATTGTGTTGTTTGAAATGGGTTCCGGCAAAAAAATTGATTTTTAAATTTTTTTATTTTATTACTTTGATTTGGGAGTAATAACTAAATTTATTTAGAGGTTCTTTGATTATGGGTAAGAGACGGTTAATATATAGAATTCCTAAAGAAATTTGTAGAGATTTGTGATGAAAAATAAAAATAAAGAAGAAGAAGAAGAAGTGGTGTGGGGCGTTGGGGTGGGGTGAGATTATTTTGATTTAATTAGAAAGAGAGAAAGAAAAAGAAAAAGAAAAAGAAAAGCAGTCCTATTTACTCTTTTTTCACTCTCTCAAAGAGAGTGAAATGCACTTTCTCAGCCAACTCAGTATTAAGGGTTTATTTATTCTCTTTTAAAACAGTTTAGGGGGGAGGGGGTTGATAGGACCCCGTGAAGCTTAAGTGTGTAGTTGGAAATCCGATTATAAGTTGGGGGGCATTTGACCATTTTCTCTACAACGGGATTAATCTAGGTTGATGTAACATCTCGCAATTTGATATAACTAAGAAGAAGCTTATAATTGGAAATAGTCAATTTTTTTAAAGAATTAAAAACTGGAAATTTGTCAAGTTAGGAAAAGTGAGTTTTTGGTCAACTTCAAACGACCATAATTCCTAGATCAGGATGAGTTAGGTGTAATTCCAGATATGGTTGGAAAGCTCTTGGAATGATCTTTCCAACGCCACCAAGTTTGCGCGATTCCAAGTTTGTTTGAGCAAGTTATGCCCTTTGGAAGTTAGGCTGTTAGATTAAGGAAATGTCCAAAACCGGGATTTTTAAAGGGTATTTTAGTCTTTTCACTACCCTATTATTTTAATCCAATTTTAGGAGTTTAATAAGGGTCAAGACTGAACTTAGTCAGTTTTAGAAAATCACAATTTTCACTCTGGAGAAAGGAGAAGAGAAAAGAGGAAGAAGAAAAGGGCAATTTCATCAAGAACGTTGGTGTTTTCGCTAAGGATTTGCTTCGATCAGGTATGTGAGGCTCTCATAACGTTCGGATCGTTCTCCCACGTGCCAAGCATATTTATTTCAGTTTGGGTTCGTCCTAAAAGCATATGAATATTGATGATCTTGATACCTAGTCTTGAATTCATATATTGTTCTCGAATTTGCCTGAGTTGGGAAGTTTCTGAGTTCGTTAAGGAGTAAAGTCGAAGTTCTTTTCTTCAAAGAAGCGTATGGGGACTAAGTATTTCCCAAAGAGATTTTAACTGTTTTTCACATTTAAATAAGAATGGAACTGAGATTTCCAAAGAACTTTCAGGCTAGTTTTCAGAAAAGAGTAATAGCTTTCTAAATGAAGTAAGCAGGGAAACTGAGATTTCCAAGATAGCATTTGAGCTAAGTTTTTGAGCACTAATCTCAAATCACAGAAGAAGTATGTTTTTAAGACATAAGAGCTAGTGTATTTTGGGAGTAGTATTGAGCACCGATTGGGGGAAGAGTTCAGACAACTCACAGCCCCCTTAAACCATGTAGACACCATGGGTAGAAAATGATCATACTTTTTAGATGAATCATTTTCGCAATAGACTACTGGATCCATTAAGCAGTTCAGGTCTTATACCTTTGGCCGGGTATAAGATGCGCTGGCAGCGTGAGGGAGATCGTTATATCATCACTATAGCTTTTAAGTGATGGTTGTCGGTTAGAGAAACTCCCACAGAGTATTGTATTTTTATATACATCAGTTTATTTGTAATTTTACATACATCTCAGAGTTATTTGTATCTTTACATACATACATAGTTGATATCATGTTTTCAAATAGCTATTCTTTATATTGCACTTGTTTTTAAACTGTTTTATATTGGAATGAGTTCAGTCAGGTTGAGTTGAGTTGAGCCAGGTAAGTTCTTCAGTTTCTCTCAAATTCTTTCTAGCCTTTGTTGTTTTAGCATTCCAACTCGCATACTCGTACATTCAATGTACTAATGCCAGTTGGCCTGCATCGTTTTATGATGCAGACACAGGTAACTA